AACTGTGGCATATCAGAAAAAGATGCATTTTTCGACTTATTTTTATATTATGGACCTATTTCTAATTCAAAATTGTGATCTTTCATATATTTAAATTCGTAACTTTGAATTTCAAAGTAATTTTCATATAAATTTCACTTATAGTTTATTAAAAAAAATAATAAACTGTTTTCCATGCTAGCATTTTGTTCAGTGGAGGGTTGAAGACTGTATGGTGCCCTCTCGATATCGTTTGGTTAGATTTGTAGTTGGGTTACTGTATCATGGTCGTATAACACCCCCACCCCACCCCATCGCCTTTTATTCATCATAGACATAATCTGGTTCAAATAAAAGCAACAGATGAATAGAGAGCTAGAAAAAATGTAAAACAAAGATTATTGTTTTACTAGCTGCTACGTTTTGCATAATTCATTTGGACTACTGATCGACATGAAAGCATCTCGTCAAGGCAAATCTGAGACTACTGTAACACGGTGTTATAGTAGTCTCAGGGCAAATCAAATAGGAATCCGGGTCCGTTCGCCTAAAATCATGTTCGCTCCCATTCATGTTCGCCCCCATTCAAGTTCGCAACCTTCATGTTCGCACACTTTTCAAATTTTACATATATATGTTAAATATAACTTATACAGAACGGTTCATGACTTACAAAAATGTTTCTCGTAAGAATTTTTTGTGAAATGAGTCCCTGATATTGCTATAAAATAAAGAATAAGATAAGTTTTTTTTATTGTGTTAAAATAAAGTGACATTCTTAAAACGTAAACAGGTTTCCATTAGTGTTTTGTGAATTATTTTGAACAGAGACATATATACACATGTGTATATATGTCTCTGTTTTGAAGAAATGTGTCATGATGATCAAGTTCACTCATCTAAGATTTGTTAAATAAAGGCGGAAGATACAAACAATAATACTAAATTAGATTTGTAAGTACCAATTAACAGTAATAATCATAAATAATTAACATTTAAGAATTATAATCATCTAATCACAAAAAAAAAAACAATTTTTCATTTAGAAAATTCACGAATTTTTATTAAAAAAAAACAGAATAGATCTATAAATCTTAAAACATTGAATGATTAAACCTGTACTTGAATAAAAATAGGGTGCGAACGAACCCAGAGGGCGAACGTGTTTTGGGAGCGAACGGACCCGATACCATCAACTAGTCCCCTTCAATTTCGTTGAGGGGCCTCGGTGGTCGAGTTGTCTAAGTAGTCGCAGAGACATATATACACATGTATATATATGTCTCTGGTAGTCGTAATACTGGATCACTAGCCAGTCAACACTGATGTTGTGAGTTCGAATCCCGCACGGGGCAGGTGCACTCGACTCCAATCTTAATTGACTAGGATTGTCACTTTTAAAATTCCTACCGAAGGTCGGTCAGGTTCTCTCCGTGCACTCCGGCTTCCTCCACCAATAAAAACTTACCGCCACGAAATAGCACAATAGTGTTGAAAGTGGCGTTAAAACACCAATCAATCAATCAATTTCGTGGAGGCATACACAAGAATTGCGGACAGCTCAGCTGGATGGCTTTATCAGCTACCACACAGAGAACCGTAATCATTGAAATTTTTTTAACGTTATTGTCTATGGGGAATTATGACCACTAGCTAAATAAATGAATACTATGTCTTATTTATAAATCTCATATAAAATTAATAAATCATAGAGATCTCACCAATTTTTTAGCTTTGAAATGGTGTAATAAAATCCACTTTATCTTGATATTTACTGGTGTCCCTATCATGTTGAACGTCGGGTTCTCTTTTGGTTGAGATATGTTAAATTACGAGGTATACATATTTTATAAAAAATCATGTTAAATTCATTTTTTATTGTAAATCAAATTAACAAATTATACAGTATTGGCAAATAATTTTCCTATCAAATGGTATTAGAATCGTCATTTTAAAATAATGTTTACTGTTGTCCCTAAGCATTTGAAAGTGAAACTTCATTATTTATGAATACGATGTATATTCATTCAACTAAGATTGACCGTAGTCAAAGACAAATTGGTCTTGTTATTTAGTTGAATTCTCATTTTTATGATGTGAACTTCTTTTCTAATTACATCCATCATTTTAAATATCTAGTTAGGTTTTAAACAATATATTAATTTCTATTATACCAAAGAGTTCTTTAAACATCAAAATTTTAAAAGTAGTGTGGTTTTGTTGACATCTTGAAGAAAAATATGCAAAAAGTGTTGTTTTTTTTTTTCGTTTTTTTGTTAATGGCTCTGTCTAATTAATCTTATTTTGATTTGAGTAATTATATTATTATTATCAAATATTTGAATACACAATTGCATGATTGTATTATTGAAAAAAAATGTCTACGAAATCTGAAAAACTAAATTGAAATAGAAAAGATGACAACGTGCAATTTTTAATGTTATTCAAAACATACAAAGTTTTATACAAGTTTTGTATAATGAAAAGGTATAGGGAATATTATTCTTATCATTATAAGAAATGATCAGAGAAGTAAATGCAAGTATTTTGAATGTATACAGTAAGATATCATAGCATCAAAATCATTGTTAGGATATGCTATCTTTATGTTCTCCTTCATACATTAATCTTATTGTTTAGTACAAGGATTTGTATAGTACTATACAAATCCTTGTTTAGTATATCCATAAAATGTCGTTTAATAATACAAATGACGAAAAACATCGAGGTCCCCTTTAAGAAAAGCTCCATAATTATCGATCTCAGCTAACATATAAACACGATTGTGTCAATATTTACATAGTATATTGTTTAAGCGTCCCATGGTGCCACGGCAAATCCTTTCCGGTGCGGTATCACTATTCAATACCATATGTTACTATTTTACCTTATCATTGAAGTATTATATTGAAAATATAGTAGTCCATGCAAAAGAGATTGTTGGGAGACCCCCTTTTTTATTTTTTGCAGTTAAATATTAAACCCTGACCACATGCACACCTTCAATATATGTACAAACCACTAAACTTTAAGGAGAAAGTCTGCGGTTTTATTTACTGATATCTATGTCTAGTTAAGGGTAGTGAATTATGTAAGTTTTATGTTCCTAGAGGACAGGAAAATATTACAATTTAATCCACAGGTGTTAATGAGTTTACGTGTTACATACATCAAATAAAATTCAGCATGGAGTATACATCTGGCTTATACAATGTCAATGTCGAATACATGTGACCTACCCATATCAAATAAAATCTAAAATTGACAGTAAAAAAATGTACATCTTGTCATATTTATGATATTGCCTTCTGTAGCTTTTATTTATATGTTTATGAGATTTCAACCCTCCCTCTATACCTCTAGCCTATGTAGAACTTGATAAACAAAACACAGCAATACGCACAGTAAAACTCAATTTAAAAGAAGTCAGAGTCCGATGTCAGAATAGATAACAAAAGTCTTTTAAGACACTAAGCAAAATGGCAATGATACACTGATAAATTAACTAAAGGACTACTACAGCAATAACTGACATGCCAGCTCCACACTTCAATTAAACTGACTGAAAGATTATGTATTCGTCATATTCATAAATTGTCTATCCTTTTCCAGAATCACGTTGAAGAGTTAAATGCTTTTTTTTTTATATAAAACATAATCTAGATAATACTCAAGCCTGCTTGATGTTGAAAGGAATTTTGTATATTGGGTTTTCATCTAACCCAATTAAAAAGAAATTTACAAGGATAGATCAGTTTGCCTGCGGCTTTTATTGAACTTGTTAAAATCAGAAACACCGATGATAAATTATTTGGACTATCTTAAAGCTTCCGAAAAGGTCGTGTGTAGTATAAACAGGGTTACAAATTCATACAATAAGAAAATTTACTAGATTAAGAAAAAAAATTAAAAAAAGTATTGATCAAGAGATATACATATATTATAAATATAGGAAATATAATAACATGTAAACGTATCTCTTTTGAACCATCGTTAACAGAAAATATTCTTTCTTCATCATAGGGCATGCACAACTTTTCTTTTTTTTTAATTATTTCTTTCCTATCGGCAATTTCTTCATCATTCATCTATGTATAGTGTACGCGGATTTTCTTTCTTAAATCCAACTGCGTTCGGAATTATCGTATAACAGCTAATATCATAAATTACCCTATAGGTATAACGTCAAAGTGACATCTATTGGCGGGGTGTTCGTTTAGGGGGGTTATCTTATCTTATCTACTGGTGGCCACAGACCACAATTAAATTCCCCTATTAGTTCTTTATAACGTTTTGTTTCATTAAAAAAAATGCACCTTGCATTTTTGTCAAATCTTTTGTGTGTGTAATGTATAGTACTAGTCCAAAAATATATCCAAAATTCAGAAAGATTGAACCAATGACTCTTACAAATTTAGCCAATACACATCCATACCCCTATGGACAAGTCAAGAGATGTTCCGAAAACTGTAAATATCACCTTTTTGCACCTGGCCTAATCACTCTTTCCATATCAAAATCAGTTAAAATACAACATCCAAAAGTTTATTTCACCTCTCTTCTTTTATTTCCACCCAAAAAAAACTAAGAAATGAGTGAGGAAGGGAAAGAAAAAAAATTAAGAAAAACTACACTCTAATTAAAAGGAACTATATTCGTGATCATTAATTGTGGTCTTGGGCCTGGTCACCAGACGATGAGAACAAGATGGAAACCAAAATAGAAAAGTAACACGAGTTATCTCGCCTTGAAATGTCCGTAATTCTTGTACATGCTAAATTTGTTTATATCAGTGGAGTCCAATGATGAATTATGCAGTAAAGTGGCAGTTTATAGTAGTCAACACGGTAAATAGGTCTGGGATGACACTTAAACTAATTGTGATGTCAGTCCTGTTTGCAAGTACCGAGTTTTCATATACATAATTTATTTCGAATATAAAATCATTTTGCTCATTTACCGGAAAATTATTACGTTTTCTCCGAACCTCATGTTGAAATTATGATCGCCTTATTCCGGAAGTAGCAGACAAGAATGGAAAAAGATGTACAATGTTTGAAAAATGGATTTTTATTACGATTGGTAATATCTTACTACTAGAAACTTTTTTTTATTAAGTATTTGCATACAACTCGCGTAATATGAGAAGCTGCGTTCAGTTGACTTTGCTCTTACTTGTCAAAAGTATCCACTGATAATTAATCTCAATGACCTCATTCATCTGCTATTTTTCTGTCAGATAGTTGTAAACATTCGAACAAGGACGTATAACTAACATACGTCCTTGATTCGAAGCATCACAGGGAAGTGTTTTCTGATGGCTAAACAGTTTTCTCTTACACAGGCACACTTTTCTGTTCATAAAAGTGACACAATGAGTAATTAGTGTAAATACAAGCTCATTTAAACCCACTCATGTTAACCAACAATGACAACATATCCTCGTCTCATGGGTTTTCGTGCTATTAAGAATGCATTGTGACGTCACAATTTCCATTGAAAAAGTATGCATAGTACGAATTCATATGACCTACGAAAACATATGATCTGATAAAATTGAGAATGGAAATGGGGAATGTGTCAAAGAGACAAAAACCAGACCATAGAGCAGACAACTGCCGAAGGCCACCAATGGGTCTTCAATGCAGTGAGAAACTTCGCACCCGGAGGCGTCCTTCAGCTGGCCCCTAAACAAATATGTATACTAGTTCAGTGATAATGGACGTCATACTAAACTCCAAATTATACACAAGAAACTAAAATTAAAAATGATACAAGACTAACAAAGGCCAGAGGCTCCTGACTTGGGACAGGCGCAAAAATGCGGCGGGGTTAAACATGTTTTTTTAGATCTCAACCCCCCCCTATACCTCTAGCCAATGTAGAAAAAACATTATGAAAATACTTATGAAAAATAGTTTAATCCCGCTTAATTTGGACCTACCAAATGGCCCTACTTATGAAATGTAGTTAAATCCTGATGATTTAAAGGCCTGCCAACTGGCTTCACTATTGAAAAGTAGTTTAATCCCAAAAAATAAAGGTCTGCCAATCCTTCCCACTCACTTTTGTTGATGATGCTGTCGGTTTCTGGTATGGAAATCATGCCATTGATGGCCTTGTACATGATCAACAGGCGATGGTCCTTACGTCGGACTTGTAGTGATTCCCAGTTAAGAAGCTGAATCATTTTGGTGACACATCCAGGGTTTTTATCTCTGTAGTTATTACAGACATAACAGGCTCCTCTCCTTTGTGCTTTGTCGAGGTGGTTTATGCCTTCGACTTTGTATGGGTCCCATACAGCAGACGCGTACTCCAATGTTGGTCGGAACCATGAATCTGTATGTTGTTTCTCGGAATGTTCTGTTACAATCTGAAGTTGCGGCGCAAGAATCAAAGATTTCTTGAGGCTTTGGCTGCAGTTATCTCTGCGTGCTTTTTCCAAGTTAGATCTTCGCTGAGAGTAACCCCAAGATATTTGCTGCTGTCTACAACTTCGAGTTGGTGTCCATGTAGGTGGTACATGTACTGTGTCTCCAAGGTGTTTTTCCGATTGGTGCTTACTCTGATGACTATGCATTTAGCAGGGTGAAAGCTCATCTGCCATATATGTTCCCATTGCTCTAGGGCAGCCAGGTCTTGTTGGAGGTTACTTGCATCTGCTTGATTCCTGATGTGCTTTTATAACAAACTGTCATCAGCAAAAAGTCAAACTGCGGAAGATGAAACAGTATCAGGCAGGTCGTTAATGTATACCAGGAACAAGAGTGGACCTAGAACGGAGCCTTCTACTATCACTTTTTGTGTCTGAGATGACAAAAATTATTATATCCATTTTTGGGTGTTTCCTCTAATCCCATAAAATCCTAGCTTGTACAAAAGGCCTTGGTGTGGCACTTTGTCGAAAGCTTTGGCAAAATCCAATAATATGATATCAACCTGATCTCTCCCTGATTTTAGTTTTTCTGCTATTTCTTGGATTGTTGATATCAGCTGTGATTCGCATGATCTTTTGGAGCGGAATCCATGTTCAATCTGTCAAAATCTTGAAGTTATCTAGATGTCTCATCAGTGTTCCCGCCTGCCCTAAATAGAAGGGCGGCCCGCCCTTGGTGCCCTTACCCCCGCCCTTCTGCCCTCCAAAGTAAAAGAATGCACCCCTCTGCCTTTGGAAAAAAAATAAAATTTCCAAATTTCATGCCTACCGGCGTTTCCGGTAAAATTGTTACCTGATTGTGTAACACTAATTAACTGACAATGGGATTAAGTTAAATACCTAGTGCTTTGGCAGTTTTATCACCTTTGTTAATGATTGTTTACTGCTAATTAGTGGATTTAAGATAATTGAACAAATACTAGATATTTAATACAGAATGAAATGTCCACATGTTATCCATTTGTAATGTTTATGTACAGCATGTACACCTGAAAAAATTTATTTCAGTAGGCATAACATAAAAAATAAAATCTTAAACAATTTTAAAGGCATACATAGTTTTGACTTAATTGGTAAAAAATTTTTTGTTTCATAACCATGAGTATGAAATTTAAAGAGGAATCAAAGAAATTTGTACTTTGAACATAACAAGATTCACTTCCTGTTTTTAATACTTCTTGTATTTTATAATCCTCCTGACATAGGAGCACTCAACAAATTTATTTTTAACAATGATGGAGAAAAAAGTAACTGTTTATACCTTCTGCAATATATTATTGCATCAATATAAAATATGATCATCTCCTGTCTCACCTGTTATAAAACTCCTTACTGAGGAGCACTTTGGTGTGCACTTAAAAATACTTTTTTGTAACAATTCAAATGATAATAAATAACTCTCAATAACATATATACTATATGTTTGAACAATTAATTTAAATGTAGATAATTTAATTACATTCAACATTCAATTTTGCATGTATAACTCCATCTTTCAAAACTACTTGTTTATTTTGGTATAAGTTATAAAACATTGAAATTTCTGATGATTATTTTCCACACCAAATGTACAAGTTTGTTAAGATTAACATCAAAATGATATGCTTTGCTTCATGGTATGATAATTTGATGAAAAAAATTCTTACTGGAACCAACATCAAGAACACATTAATTTCTGAATATGGTTTAAATACAACTAATGTTCTCCAGCTGAGCCTAGCAATATTCAAGGTAATTTATACACTGTCCAACATTGCCCTTAAAATCTGGGTTATAACGCTAAAGTGCCCTTTCAGACAACTAGCACCCTTCTGCCCTGAGATTCAAGCTGGAACACTGCTCATGATGGACGAATGAATGACATGTTCAAGAACTTTGCTGACAACTGATGTGAGGGACACTGGCCGATAATTTGATGGAACATTGCGCTCTCCTTTCTTAAAAAGCGGTGTAATAAGAGCCTCTCTCCAGTCTGATGGTACAGTTCCCAAGTTTATGGAATACTGGAAAAGTAGGACGAGTGCTGGTGAGATCTCAGCTGCACATGTTTTCAGGAACCTGGTTGGTATTTGGTCTGGACAGGACGCTTTGTATTGGTTAAGTCAATTCAATAGCTTGATGATGCTAATTCCATTAATCTGTATGTCATTCATGCTATCAAATGGGCTTGGTCCTGTATCTGGCATGGTGGTCAAGTCTTCTTCTGTGTACACAGACTGAAATTGGTGGTTCTGGATTTCAGCTTTGGAATGACTGTCACTGTGTAAAAATCCATCTTTATTCAGAAGAGGTGATATTCCAGCTGGTTCTTGCTTCTTACTCTTTACATAGGACCAAAAGCGTTTACTGTTGTTTTTATAAAATCTTGCTGTGCTGTTCTCAATTCTCTCTGCGTTTCTGCTTTTAGTCTCTTATAACATGTCCTGTCATTGGAGTTGTTGGTGCTTTTTACTCTCCTGTAAGCTCTTGCTTACCTTCTACTCAAGCGTCGAGTCTGAGTGTTAACCCATGGGTGTTTGTGTTTTGATGATGACATCTTAGATGGAATATGAGTGTCAATAAGGCCACAGTTAAAAATATTTCAGTTTGCCCAAACCTGACCCAATGATGACTGGGTGTGGGTAGGAAGGTAGGCAAATTCTTTTTTTTTTTATCAGAATTTGCATGAAAATATTAAAACAGTATATCTTTTTTTTCCGTCAAACCTTTGTAGAGACAATCAAAAGCCATGAATTTAAGACCCGTATAAATTAGTCTACTATATAGAATTAAATCACTCAACAACTCAGAATGGTATCTTTTCACAGTAAAAGTAGCAAACTTAAGTTTATTGTCAAATTCCTGTACAACCTCAATAGGTTCACTCATGTCAGGCTCGAAAGTTTGTAGCCCACTCTTGTCGGATACAGTAACAACGACTTCATCGGTTTTCGGCATGTCCATCTCATCAGGATCGGCAACCTCATCAAAAACATCATTCCAGGTTTTCTTATTGTTAAAGCAATAAAGCCTATTAGACACAATAGGCTTTATTTTTTGGTTTATTTTAAGTAGTACAGACGATGACAGCGTAAATAAACTGTCTGCCATTTTTACATGTTTTACTTCTTTACGTTCATTAAATCAGAAGATAAAAACCGAGAACATCGAATATCGATTAACTGCGTCTCTTACACACTTTCTTTTAATCTTATTCACAGTTACTTTCAAACGCAAAGACGACGAACATTAAGTTTTATACGATGACGGAGCGGACACGAAAAAAAACTGAAAAAAAAAGTTCTTCCAAAAAAACGGCAAAAAAAAGAATTTGAGTGGGCGGTTTTTTTTTTGGGTCAATCGCGTTTGGGCAAACATACAATATTTTTATTTTGGCCTAAGAAATGTTACTCCTTCCTTAAATGCTTGCCACATTTGATCTAGAATTCGGAATTCAGAGCATCTGAATTCTGTAGCGAATTAAGTCCTTCTGAATTAAGGCCGCCAAAGTGGTGCAAGTTGGTTAACAAGAGTGGTGCTAATTGGTAAAAAGTGGGGTGAGCTGGTGGAAAAATTGGACTCGCTGCCATGCTTCAGTGATAGCCATTAAGTTTGCCTACATACCCCTGTCAGGCCATTATCGTGCCGGCAAAATGACGATTTAAGTTGCCAAAGAATTTTGAAAATGGCTTAAACTCCCCAGCCAACTTGACTCCATAGCGAAGTCAAGCTGCTATCAAAATCGGTATAAGGGAGACAACTTGTGATTTACAAGTCCCACAGTAAACAAAAATGGCGACGGACAAGGAAAATCGAGATTTTCTAAACAACCAAGGACTAATTCTATCGGCGATTAAATGAAATAAATACAACAGAGACTTTGAACATCCTCGGATTTGACATTCAAAACTATTGAAACGGGAAATGGAGCGACTGTTTGAGTTATCATTTTACAATGATTTTCGTCATGAGGATGTTGCGTTAGCACTCAGCTGATTTGTTTTCAGTAATTTGAAAAAATTTGACGTCATAATTAAAAAGTGATTGTTGCTTGACATCAGAAGGTTATTCGGAGCAGATCTAAGGTCATTCAGAGACAAAATTCAGCTAAATACCAAAAGTGTAAATACGTTTATTAACGGGTGATTTTTTGCTATTCACTGATAAAAATTGATATGTAAAGAGTAAAAATAAAAAAACAGCTGATGGATAATTTGATTGCAAATGTACAACTCGTGGTCAGCTTGTGATCAGCAGTGTGTTTTTTTCCACGACCAACTCATTAATTTAGCTCTTTATCAGTTAATTTATATGTGATTGACAGATATCTTCATTTATAGGTCTACAACCATTCACGAGAATCTCAAATTACAACTGACATGATGGCCTGGACATCCAATGATGTTTTACTAAATTATGACAAGAAGTGGTGATATAAAACAAATTGCCAAGTTATCAGATAAACTGAGAGTCATATTTTTCTGAATGTTTAACAATAAATTGAGGCAGATGTACATGAGATGTACATGAGATAACGCATGATATACTAGCAACACATTTTATTGAAATTTAATTCAAGTTTACAGTACACATAATCTGACTAAATAAATAACAACTATATTGTCTAAAGTTTTTTATTAAGAATTTTCAGTACACACAATGTCATTTAAAAACACTGTACTGGTAAGTATATTTTTTTTTGCGGTCGTATATTGTTATGACGTTGGCGTCATTGTCGTCCGAAGACACGTTTGTTTTCGCACTCTAACTTTAGTTTAAGTGAATGGATCTCTATGAAATTTTACCATAAGGTTCAATATCACAAAAGGAAGGTTGGGATTGATTTTGGGGGTTATGGTACCAACAGTTAAGGAATTAGGGCCAAAAATAAGCATTTTTGTAACTTCTAGACATAACTTGTGTGTTAGTGTATGGATCTCTCTGACATTGTACCACAAGGTTCCATATCACAAAGGGAATGCTGGGATTGATTTGGGGGGTAATTGCCTCAAAATTATAGGAATTAGGGGCAAAAAAAGGGGCAAAAAACAAGCATTTTTCTAGTTTCATGACAATAACTTGTGTTTAAGTGTATGGATCTTTCTGAAATTGTACTACAAGGTTCCATATCACACAGGGAAAGCTGGAATTGAGTTTGGGGGTAATTGCCCAAAACGTTTAGGAATAAGGGGCCAAAAATAAACATTTTTCTAGTTTCCAGACAATAACTTGTGTTCAAGTGTATGGATCTCTCTGAAATTGTACTGCAAGGTACCATACCACAAAGGGAAGGCTGGCATTGATTTTGGGGGTAATTGCCTCAAAATTTTAGGAATAAGGGGCCAAAAAGGGGCAAAAAACAAGCATTTTTCTAGTTTCAGGACAATAACTTGTGTGTAAGTGTATGGATCTTTATGAAATTGTACCACAAGGTTCCATATCACAAAGGGAAAGCTGGAATTGAGTTTGGGGGTAATTGTCTAAAACGTTTAGGAATTTGGGGCCAAAAAGGGGCTAAAAACAAGCATTTTTCTAGTTTCCAGACAATAACTTGTGTTCAAGTGTATGGATCTCTCTGAAATTGTACTGCAAGGTACCATACCACAAAGGGAAGGCTGGGATTGAGTTTGGGGGTGATGAATCATAAGGGGGTTCAAAAAATTTGGGGGAGGGATTTTTTTTTCTTTAAAATTTTCCATTTTAAATTGGTTATTTCTGATTTATATATAAAAGCAAATAATAATGATATGGTTTGAATAGGTAAATTAAAAATTTTAAAGTTCTTAGACCACATTCATTCTGTGTCAGAAACCTATGCTGTGTCAAATATTTAATTACAATCCAAATTCAGTGCTGTATCAAGCTTGAATGTTGTGTCCATACTTGCCCCAACTGTTCAGGGTTTGACCTCTGAGGTCGTATCAAGCTGCGCCCAGCGGAGCATTTTATTATTGCATATATATAAAACAATTTTCTTAATGATAAGCATGAAAACACTACTCAACTAAAACGGTAATGGAATATCACTTCAAGAAGTTGCCCACTTCTCCCTACTCTCTCATGGAAGGGGAAGTCACTTCTACCTCTCCAAAATCCTAGATTAGGCCCTGACCCCTGTGTGCATGCTTAGGTGTGAAACTTCAAATAAACTATAGTTTTTAAAAATAAATAAGTTGCACACCAATAACTAATTGTAAGTTTCTATTTGAAGAAACATGAAAAGATGGAAAACTAAAGGATGTTTGACATGTCATGATACTCAGATTTTATGTATTCTGTCTCTGTTCTGAGCTTTATTGCTGTCAAGTCAACATCAGGTATTAGCATAAACTGTGCTAGTAAATGTAATTGCATTAATAAAGAGTATGCAGCACACTTTAGTCCATTGACTACATGTACAAAAAAAAATGTATATACTTTTTCAATTACAGGAACAGAGCAAAAAATGGAAGATCAGATGGTTTACATTGGAAGAAGATCAGCTGGTGTGTCATCCAAAACGAGATAGATATGTGGTCATAGATACAATCAATTTACATGGTGCATCAGTTGTCTGCCCCTCATTGACCAGTTTCAAAGCAGAGAGTTTGGTTTGTATACTCTTTTCTATTGAATTCCTCATCTGTAGACTGATTGTCATAGGTTTATATGATCCATGCAAATAGTCACAGGATGCATAGCATTGATATTTGCGTTTTTGTAGTCAGCTGCAGTGTAAGCAATTGCTAATTCCTTTTTATATTATAGCTCTTTCATAAAGATCAACATGGTAGCTTATTACAATTGTATAAGACTTGTCAACCAGTCATTATTATCAACCTCACTTTTGTGCACGTGTGACCTGGTTTAAAGTCTTTGGAATAGATGTGTTTCTCAGAAACTTTACATAATGTAATAATTTTATTATTGAATTATTTTCAAATTGTATGTGAATGATAGGAGATAAGGGGAGTGCACTTAATCCTTAGGACTTTTGATCTGTATATGTTTTTAAAGTACCAGGTATTGCAAAATGGCATGAATTTTATTAAAGCTTTATATATAACTTTAAGGTAAGTGCAAAGTTCACTGTGAATTCTTACGAATATTATGAACACTCACAGATTTAACTGCTGATGGATAGCAAAATTCAATTTATCTACAACATATGACAAAAATGCATAATTATGACATATTTGTGACAGAGTAGAAAATATTGAAATATTTTAAGTATTTATTAAATATTTACATGACAGTTAATATATTTTTACTCACATGCACTCTATATTTTCCAGTCTAAAAACAATTTCAAAATTGACCACAATCTACCTGTTGCATGTTATTTTTTATCAATCCTGTGGAAGTATATTTTTAATGGCATCATAGCTGCATTTAATAGTGGGTTAGACAAGTTGTTAGTTCTTTACCCTCCCGTTTTATTTTGATCAATTGAATACAAAGAGTTCATAAATAGAATAAATTCTTCTTGATGGACAAATAGACAAAAAAACTAAGAACATTATGTAGGATATTTCATATAACCATGACCAAATTTTAACGCAATAAAGTGAAGGTTAAAAGAAGAAATTATGTATTTATTGTTTTTCAGGGTGAGTTTCATATCCACACACCAAAAGGAGAGGAACTATGTTTTAGAGCTGCAGGAAAGGAAGATTGTGATGGATGGGCTCATGCTATTGGTGCTGTCCTCAGGTCACTGACTGTGTCTAATCAGGTAAAATCATACACAAAGTGTACTTAAATTCAATATAAACATTAATAGAGAAGGCGATTCTTCCATTTGATCTTCCACATTTGTCTACTCTTGACATTTGAATTTCAAATATTTAAAAATACCTGGAAGCCTTATGTTTTGAAACTTGAAAGTTGGAATCTGTGTAAGGACATTAGGATGTAAAAGAGATCCCTCGTTGGTGGTTCCATAAATTTTTGACACAAAGTCAATTTTTATATGCTCTATCAAAATATGCAAAGAAAAATATACCTTCATGACTTATGAGACATTTCCGTTTGATTTTGGCCTGTTTGATGTAAAAACACGAATTTTCTCATTTCAATACCTCGCCTGAAAAATTGCAAAGCTTTCAAACGAAAAGAGATATTTTCACCCAGTCTTTTGTATAGTGTTCCTTATTTTATATGCTTTTAAGGTAGTTTCCCCAAGCAGTAAATTTCATTTTTTTATTGCTAAAGACAGCATTTCTGTTTAGCACAAAATAAGATCACACTGTATTGTGAATACCACATCCTCATGTAAGCATTCCCTCTCACAAACCACTTCATACAAATCTCTGACAGTTATTGACTATTTTGTTGACAGAAAAGTATAGGTTACCATTTTTCTATTAAATAGAAATTTATGTCACACAGTAGATATTAGCCACCTGCATAAACAGCATCTCTATATTCCTCTGAGACTGCTATCAAGTTCAAGCAACTGATTTGTTGACCTCAGTGTGTTTCTGGTAAATTTTGGATGCATATTATATGCAACATGGCACAAGCAATGCACAAATTGTGAGTTATTATCTGCCCCTGCTACTGTATCGTATGCCGTTAAGTGGTGAAATATTGTATTTCACTTTTAAAAAGCAGCAATATCATTTATTTTTATCAGTCCAGTGAGTGTATTCTCCTTGTAAAGACATACACAGAATTATAAGTTCTGTAGTGTATTCAATGATTGTGTAGAACCGGGTTAGCATACACAAAGGAGGAGGTGAGAAGAGCCATTATTTGGCCTCACTCTGGCCTCTGAAATTGCAAAAATACAAAACTTTGTCAAGCCTTTCAATTAATGTCAATTCTAGTGATTAATGAACAGGTTAATATAATTGGGACTGTTGAGTGCAGACAGGTCACTTATGATTCGCTATGATTTACATATTTGGCCTAAGTTTTTTGTTAAAATTTATATACAAGTAACAGCTTCACCCGAAAGGATATTTTACACTCTTTAACATGCATTTTGTAGCAAAAACTCTTTTGGGTAAAGGTGTTGCTCATATCTAAATATCTCAATGACAAGATATCAAAATGAGACTTTTTGGCAGTTTTTGATGTTTTGCACTAAATGTAAGAAGTTTGAAGCCATTATGCTAATATGTAAGACAAAATTCAAAGATATTAGTACTGATGTCCGACAGACTAATGTCTTATGAACATCTGAAGGATGTCATATGGTAGATTTATAGTACTTTTTATGGCCCTGACCACAAAGGGCCATATAGTTTTACCCTTGTCCATCATTCCATCATCCTGTCATTCCGCAACGAACAATTATACAGACGTTTTTCTAAATGCCTTCACGTATTGAGCTGATTTTTAGTATATGAGTCTACTATGATAAGTTACAGATCAAGTTTATGTTTGGTTCCGCTCAGCTGATATTTGCCGAAATTATGTGCTTTAGACTTTGAAAATTTAGTGAAAATAACAGTTATTTTTTATACAGATTATTTTTCTAAACGGCTTCACTATTGAGCTTCAAGTTTTTTTGCATGCAGGGCCATTCAAAAATCAAGTTGATCACATTTGTACAAGTATATATTATTAGGAGTATCAGCTTTAAAAAAATAGAAAAATACAAATGTAGTTGATTATTGAATACTGTGGATCATTATTATTTGTGGAATACCAGTTTTAGTGGATTTCATGGGTACAAGTAAACCACAAATTTAAATGTTCAACGAATTACAAACTATCTATAGGCTTGAATGCAGACTGGCTAAACCATGAAATCAAATATCCAAGAAAATACAAATTTTCTTCAATCCACGAAAATTGGTATCAAAGAAAATAAATGAATCAATAGTATTACATTATATTGTAGGATTCAGAGAAGAATGTTCCATTCCAAGCATTTAGAGTAAATACAAATGTCAGGTAAGGCAGACATGATAATTTTTGATAATACATTATATTAGAACAGTTCTAACTGCTGTGCTTCATCTGTTGAATGTATCTGACTTATCACACATTATTCGGTCTTTTTGTTAGACCCTAACCTCTACGATTACTGACCAAATGATATATAAATTCACACACTTCAAAGAATGACAGATGCAATAGTAAGAACTGCTTTGTGGCAAGAACTACCACAATATTTTGATATTGTTGGAATGAAACTATCAGATTTTCAAAAGATATAACAAAGATAACTCTAAACTAAATTGAATAATTGCTTTTTAACTTTAAAGTAATAAAGTATGTTACAAGTTTCCCCAAAATAAAATTTGATAAATACTTTTCAGCCCTCCTGGCCAAAAAGATTTGTATGAGCTATTTCAATAACTAAATGTTTGTTGTGTGGCTATCATAATCTTATTTAAAATATTTTCTCCTCTGTAACCTTGGTAACAAATGGAACATAATTGAGCCATAAACAATCTATTAAGGGGATTCAAATTTTAACATAGAATCTGTAGAATGCTGGCCTTGAGTGTTAAGGTCTTGAGTTTTATCCCAGCTATGTCAAACCAAAGACTTTAAAATTTGTGTTTAACTGCTTGTCTGCAAAGCATACAGCATTATGAGAAAAATCAAAGACTACTTGGCTTGGAGTCAGAATTATGCATCTTAAATAAGGTGAGCTGTCAGACTGTTTCCTAAAGACCCAGCATATTAAAAAACCACACTCAGTGTGTCAGTTTAGTATAAAGTAGGGGATGTTTATATTTCATTTACATTTAATTGTCCTAAATATACAAGTTTGTCAAAATGTTTGTTGTTTGTGTAAAGTCTTTGAGTCATAGTATATTTTAATGTCTTAGGTTTCAACAAAATTATTGTAACTGACCATATTTAAAAAATATGAATGTTTAAATGAAAGGTTTTAAAACTTGTTTTTAACTACTATTGTTTGAAATCATGTAATGCATGTATTTTTACACATATTCAGTTAATACAAATTGACTTAGAAAAAAATGATATAACTTTTTTTCTCATTAGAACTATGCCCTTTTTGATACAGAATATATGATCAAATTGAGAATGGAAATGGGGAATGTGTCAAAGAGACAACAACCCGACCATAGAACAGAGTATGTAAATACAGAAAATATGAGTATAAGGAGATAAAGGATATGCATTAATATGATTCAACAAAATCATTTACTATCTTTGCATACATTTGTTATTCTAAGAACTTTTTTCATATTTATCTTTATTTTTTACCTGTTTCAGTGTTGTTAAGAATTTAGAACTTGTCTGTAGTTTCTGTGTAACTATATTATTAAAAATACTTTAATATTTAATTGTAGTGAGATCCTTGGTGCTCTACAGGAGCCGGAAGCGGGAGTAGAACTTGGCAGCCATGTCAGAAATGGAGATGTTCATAAAAATTGCTTTGAAGGTACGTAGATTTTCATTACATTTATATTGATGTTGCTTGAAAGTGGTCCAAAGTTTTAAGTGTGTGAATAAGGGTTTTTTAATCAATGAGACAGCAACTCATATCACAAAAGCCTAAAGGACATTTAAAGGTCAACATGTAGTCTTTAACAACAGACAAGTTTCAAAAATTTATCTAGCCTTCAATCTTCCTAAATCTGGACAATTTATGAAGAAATGGAACAGAGACCTATCAATTGCAAGGATCTGCTATCATAAAGGATATACCATTTATAAACGATAATAAACATTTTAATTGATGACAGTATGTTGTTTCTAGACATTTTTCATTCATGTTCTTTTTGAATTGTGTTTCTGTTTATTCTATGTTTTTCTAAAGTAAAAATATAGAAAGATTGTCTATAATAGAAAAGTTTGTTGGATGGTCTATGGTTTATTTTTATCACAGACAACAGTATAGTAGACTTGAATGAGGGATGGTCTATGGTTTATTTTTATCACAGACAACAGTATAGTAGACTTGAATGAGGGATGGTCTATGGTTTATTTTTATCACAGACAACAGTATAGTAGACTTGGATGAGGGGTGGTCTATTAGAATTTCTTTTATAGGCCACAGTATAGTGGACTGGCTAGAAAGATGGTCGATCATAAGAAGACGGGATGATGGAGTTGCTATGGCACAGACCTTATTGAAACTAGGTCATCTCCAGGAAGTAGATATTTTAGATGGTGCTGCTGGTGCTGCCAGAAAGTTTGTTGATGGAGACAAGCTATATAGATTTGTATGACTTAATTATTATCAAGATATTGAATGAACTAATTAATAACAACTAAGATATCCCCTTCTTCTTTCACTTTTTTGTATGTTTCATGATAAAAATGCTCAAATATCCATGACTGACAGAAATTGATGACAACACCAAAACGTCATAAATCGGTCAGGACCTTGTCCGAAACAACACAAATACTGAGTTCTTTTGCAATCAAAGTAAACATTGCATCTATTGGTTTATTTTAAATAGCTATCTTTCGAATGTCAAAAGGAATGATTCGCAGAATGCCAGACATAGGCTCTTTGCATAAAGCTTTATATTTCAGAAGTTAAAAGACCTGAATGCTTCATACCTTATGTTACAAAGTTTCCATCTGTCTAATGTCTATTGTCCTTGACCTCATTTTCATGGTTCAGTGACTGCTTAAAAAACTTTGAAATTTAAACTTTATTATGAGTAATAGGATAACTATATTTGGTATATGTGATCCTCACAAGGTCAAATCCTGAGAGAAAGGGTTTACCTGACCTTGACCTCATTTCATATATCAGTGAAAAAGGTATAGTTTTCATGGTCAAGTCTATATACTACAAGCAATATGTCAACTATACTTGGTGTATGGAATGATTTTATTGTGTACATGTTTGTGAGGCAGGTTTCATCTTACCTTGACCTCATTTTTATGGTTAATCTGTCAATGTTATGTTTTTATGGTTAAGTCTGTTTCTCAGATGCTATAAGCAAAAGGACAAATATATTTGGTAAATTGAATGATGTCTCTGGTAGCATTCATCTGACCTTGACCACATTGTCATGGTTCATTGGTTAATAGTAAATTTTTGTGGTTTGGTGTGTTTCACAGACACTTTAAGCAATTTGTATACTATATTTTGGGGGCCTCGGTGGCCGAGTGGTCTAAGTAGTTACTACTGTAATCACTAGCCAGTCAACACTGAGGTTGTTAGTTCGAACCCCACTCTTGTGGGTGCACTCGACTCCAATCTTAATTGACTAGGATTGTCAGTTTTCTCTTGAAGGTCGGTGGTTTTCTCCGGGCACTCCGGCTTCCTCCACCAATTAAAAACTGGCCGCCACGAAATAGCCCAAAAACGGTGCTTAAAAGTGGCGTTAAAACACCAAAAATAAAATAAAAATAAAAATACTATATTTTGTGTGTATAATTATTGCAGAGTTTTTTTGTCTGTCTGGCAGGGTTCATCTGATCTTGACCTCATTTTCATGGTTCATTGGTCAATGTTGAGTTTTGAGGTTTGGTCCATTTCTCAGATACTTTAAGCAATAGGTCAACTATATTTGGTTTATGGAATGATTTCAAGTTGTATAAGTCTGTCTTACAGAGTTATCTGACCTTGATCTGATTTGTATAGATTATTGATAATGTTAAGTAACTGTTATACGTGGTAAGACCTTGATATTACAGATATTCAGCTTAATCTCAATTAAAAACAGTAAAGTCAGCAAGATATATCAGTATGTTCACTCTTGTTTACAAAATTATGAGGTATATGCCTGCCGAGTGACCAACATGACTGATGTTACTGTATAAAAAGTTTATCCATTCAGGAACCTGAAAACCATAGGGTACAAATTAGCTTTTGGAAAAAGTTGGTGATTGATAAAAGCCTGGCAATTGTGTTCTGTAGCCATATGAAATAAAATATCAAAAATTTGTAATATAAGTGACTGCCAGCTTGATCATCTCAAATTTCCATGTTTTTTGTTTGTTTGTTTTTGTTTTTTTGTTGTTGTTTTTTTTTTTGGGGGGGGGGGGGATAATATAGGTTACATCCAATAATCTATACATGGAATCATATTATTTGGTAGAAAAAACTGCAAGAATTTTAGATGGTTCCTCACATATGTCATGTTAGTAAGTTTCATGTTAGTAAATTTTATATATCTCTTCTGTAGGAATATGTCTAAATAAAGGATATCTAAGGAACTATGACTAACTCAAAATTTATAAATAAAATTTTATAAGAAATATTAACCGTTAAAAACAAAACGATATGTTAGGATTAAAATGAATTAGAAGCAAATGTGTGATATTGTTGTTTATATTTTATTGTTTATTGACATAAATATTTTGCAGACTTCATTAAATCTTGGTATGAAGAGGAACAGTTTTTATGATAGTACAGATAGTGAATCAAGTTCTTCAGAAGATGAAGATGACACTGCTGAAGATGCAACCAAACTTAGGAAAGGCAAAATAATCAAAGCAGGTTACCTATGGAAAAAGGTAAGACTAAAAAGACACCACTAACTTAATTTTCACCAGTATAGAATGGGAACATTGAGTTCAGGAGACTGTGAGTTCTATCATAGGTCCAAACTATAAACTTAAAAATTTGTATTTGCTGCTTCTCTGCTCAGCACACATCATTTAGGAGTAAAAGCAAAGTTTGATGGACACATATTCATAATAATGTGTTGTGGTAGGTGACATGTCTTTCAGTGGATTGTTACCTTGTGAACTAGCACATTAAAAATCTAACTTATAGTGTAGGTCTAGTACAACGCAGAGTTCATATTAGTATGGTATTAAAATGTTCTGGTCCTAGGCATTAAACATCGATACATCATGATCATCATTATCATCATAATGCCTACAATTTATTTTTGAAAAATTTGTTTACTTTCACTACATCATGATCATCATTATAATCACATGGCATTAACATGTTCTGGCTCTAGACATTAAACATCACTACATCATGATCATCATTATAATCACAAGGCATTAACATGTTCTGGCTCTAGACATTAAACATCACTACATCATGATCATCATTATAATCACAAGGCATTGACATGTTCTGGCTCTAGACATTAAACATCACTACATCATGATCATCATTATCATCACATGGCATTAACATGTTCTGGCTCTAGACATTAAACATCACTACATCATGATCATCATTATCATCACATGGCATTAACATGTTCTGGCTCTAGACATTAAAACATCACTACATCATGATCATCATTATCATCACATGGCATTAACATGTTCTGGTCCTAGACATTAAACATCACTACATCATGATCATCATTATAATCGCATGGCATTAACATGTTCTGGCTCTAGACATTAAACATCACTACATCATGATCATCATTATAATCACAAGGCATTAACATGTTCTGGCTCTAGACGTTAAACATCTCTACATCATGATCATCATTACCATCACATGGCATTAACATGTTCTGGCTCTAGACATTAAACATCACTACATCATGATCATCATTACCATCACATGGCATTAACATGTTCTGGCTCTAGACATTAAACATCACTACATCATGATCATCATTATCATCACATGGCATTAACATGTTCTGGCTCTAGACATTAAACATCACTACATCATGATCATCATTATCATCACATGGCATTAACATGTTCTGGCTCTAGACATTAAACATCACTACATCATGATCATCATTATCATCATAATGCCTACAATTTATTTTTGAAAAATTTGTTTACTTTCACTTTTCTTTATTTTTAGAAAAATATAAGGAAAGAATGGCGAGTCAGAAGAGTAACAGTTCATCAAAATCCATCTGTTATGGCTTACAGTCGACCTGTTTCACCAGAGGTTTGTTTAATTATCTGAGTGTTTTAATACATGTATGAATAAGGGTTTAAGATTGATATATTGCAATGAAGTAAAGGGAAACTATTAAAATTTTAAAGTAAATTTGGATTTTATTAGATAAATACCATCATAAATTCTGAGTGTAACCCCAATTGCGTCATAGGTCAGATGGAAAATCCCGACTAAAAATAAACGAACTCTCACTGGTCCGGACATATACCCCTGTTTGACCATATTCTCCCATTCAATTTCCTCAAGACAGAAATGTAAGGAAAGGGGATGAAGGGGAGGTGGGTGGGACCTATAATTTATGATGGTAAGTATTTATCTAATAAAATCCAAATTTACTTTAAAATTTGAATATTTTATAGCTATAAATACGTTACCATCATAAATTCTGAGTAACAGAATCTAACGTAAAGCTGAATCCCCTGTAACAGAAGAAACAGGAGGAAAGTTCAATCTTTGCGCTGAAACTATAGGTCCAAGAGAGTATAAACTCTCGGCAAAAGTAGCCATAGATTGAAGGTAATGAGATATAAAAGAGTTCTCATTTCTCCAGAAACCTGCAGACAGTACCTCTTCTAAAGATGCACTGTTAAACAGAGCCCAGGATGTAGAGATACCCCTAACATCATGAGCTTTAACATTAAAACTATTTAAAAGTTCTGCCTTAGAAGAACCATAAGCTAAAGATATGCATTTGCATATCCAAGTAGAAATAGTTTTAACAGAAAGATCTGAGATTCCTTTTTTAATAGGAATAAAGAGTCTTGAGTTAGAAACAGAACGTAAACTACTCGTTCTATCCAGATAAATAGAAAGGATTCTTACTGGACATAAAAGTACAGAAATAGAATCGCTAGGGAGTGCAGGAATCACGACTGGTTCTGCACCCTTATCTGGAATCTGATTCTTTGCCAAAAAAGCAGGATCAGTTAAAAGAGTAACAGAAGATTTATCCCTGTTAAATTGAAGGCAAGCATCAGAAATAGAGAAGGCATGGATTTCACTCCTTCTCCGTCCAGAAGCCAAAGCTAAAAGAAAACAGCATTTATAGGAAAGAAACCTTAAATCTATTGTTTCTGCTGGTTCAAAAGGAGGAAGTTTTACAAAGGATAAAACTAGTCCAAGATCCCACTTAGGAACTAAAGTTTTTTGTCTTGGTCTTTCAAGACTAAAACTACGAACCAAAAGAGAAATATGCTCATTGTTTCCAAAATCTGGGCCACCAGAAATATGAATAGTTCTTGAAATAGCTGATCTATATCCCTTAATAGTAGAGGGACATAATCCTTTGGATTCAAAAAGAAAAACTAGAAAGTCTGCTAATTGTTGTACAGTGACTTGGAAAGGATCAATTTCCCGCTCACTACACCAATCTGAGAAGATTGACCATTTTGCATCATAGACAATGCTAGTGGAGTCTCTGACAGACTTTGTGAGATGCTTGGTTGCTCTTTCAGAAAAACCTCTCTTTTTGAGGCTAACCCTGAGAGAAGCCAGGCGTGTAGATGCAGTTTTTCTGGATTTTGATAAAGAACCTTGCCCTTGATTTGAGACAGAAGGTCTGGTCTCAGAGGTAGAACTAGAGGACAAGCACATGATAGGCGCAGAAGGTCTGGGAACCAAGACTGTTTCGGCCATGCTGGAGCAATAACTATGATCTTGCAATTTTCCCCTGCTATTTTCTGAAGTACTGGGGAGAGAAACCTGAAAGGAAGGAAGGCGTACCCGAACATTCCTTTCCAAGATAGGCTCATTGCGTCTACCGCAAAAGATTTTGGATCTGGAACCGGAGACACAAATGTTAGAAGTTTGTGATTGAGACTGGTCGCAAACAGATCTATCTGAGGTGACCCCCAATGAAGAGTCACAGCTTTGAAAACTACTTGAAGTAGTTCCCACTCCGTGTTTACTGGAGCAAGGGATCTGGATAGAGTGTCGGCTAGAATATTGAGGTGCCCCGCAATATGTCTCACCACTAGATGAACCTGGAGTTGAAAACACAGAAGGAGAATGTCTCTGGCTATCTGATAAAGAGAAGGTGAATGAGTTCCTCCCTGATTCTTGAGATAAGCTACAACTGTTGTGTTGTCCGTGGCCAGAATGACAGACTGATTCTTTTGAGACATTTGGAAATGATTCAGTGCAAACAGAACTGCTTTCATTTCCAATACATTGATATGCTCTTCCAAAATATCTGGATTCCAGACTCCCGAGATTGTAAGCCCCTCCAGATATGCTCCCCAACCGAGGGTGGAGGCATCTGTGAATAATGTTAGACTGGGAACTTGAGGGGACAGACATAGGCCCCTCATTACATTTTCCCGTACTAACCACCATTGAAGATGTGGAAATAAAGGCTGAGTGATTGGAATCAATGCTTCCCATTCTTGTGAAGCTGGAATCCATAACTTGTGCAGATAAAACTGAAGCGGACGAATGTGAAGTCGTCCCAATGGAATTACATCTGCCAGAGAGTTCAATAGACCCAGAAGTTGCAAGAATTGACCTGCTGTGACTAATTGAACCGTCAGGAATAAATGTATTTTCTGACATAGTTTTGTAAATTTTTCCTCTGGTTGGAGGACTAGGCCTACACTGGTTAGGAAATGTTCTCCCAGGAAAACAAAGTCTTGAGAAGGAATTATCTCTGACTTTTTCCAAGAGATTAGGAAGCCTAGGGACAGAAAACAATTGATGACCAAATTTGTCTGAACCCTCAATTTGATTGGGCAAAATTCCTTGAGAAGGGAATCGTCCAGGTAGGAATGAATCTGAATAGACAGGGAATGTAGGTGAGCTATAGCTGCCTGCATGATTTTGGTAAAAGCCAAAGGGGCTGTAGACAGGCCAAAAGGGAGAGCCTTGAACTGGAAAACTTTGTTGTTCCAAACGAAGCGAAGGTATTTCCTGTAAGTATGGGAAATGGGAATGTGGAAATAAGCATCTGAAAGATCCAGAGAAGTAGTCCACATTCCTGGAAGGATTGAAGCCCTGATTGATCTGTTGGTTTCCATTTTGAAATGGGGAACAATAAGAAAGTTGTTCAGAATAGATAGGTCTATGACTGGCCTCATTCCTCCAGTCTTCTTTGGAACCAGAAAAAGACGGGAATGAAATCCCGGAGACAGAGTTAAGAGCGACACCTCCTCTATTGCAGATTTTTGTAACATTGTGTCCACTTCTACTGATAGAAGTTGATACTTGACTGGGTCTTGAGTATGAGACAAACTTATCGGAACTGCAGACAGAGGAGGTGGGTTCTTGAACTGAAGTGTTAATCCCCCTCGAATTATTGACAGCACATAACAGTCTGAGGTAATTTTCTTCCACTGATTTAGGAAAAAACTTAACCTCCCCCCTACTGGTATTGATTTTTGAGGAACTTGTTGTAAATTTTCCCCTGGGGAAGCTGTCAATAACGTACGAGGGGGCAGGAACCTAGGTACTAGACCCAGGTTTCTTGGGACCCTTAAAACCACCAGAAGGCTTACCTGAGCTTTTTCCGGAGTTATGGGGTTTGTTCTGCGGTTTGTCGTAGTTATTCTTCCTTTTCTTAGCAGAAGAAGGAGGACCACCTGAAGCAGAAGTACTAGTAGAACTAGATGTAGCATTAACCGACCTCTTGCCATTAGTAACTTGTACACTAACTTTGACTGGAGGAGGGTTTTTGCTGAGTTCCTCTTGAACCCGCTGTAAGGGTAAACCAAACATCTTGTCAGTGAGTGGAGATTTCAGTAAAGAATCTTTCAAAGGCTCAGCAACAGAAATGTTTTCAAGAAACTCTGCTCTTTTAGATAGGGTGCAATTAGCAATAGAACCCATTAAAAGCAACTGAGATAAACCTAGAGCTTTATACAGTTGAATTAAGAAGGATCGTACTTCTGCTCGAACAACGGAATCTTTGCTGTTAAGCAAATGTCCGGTTGCAGCTAGAAAATGTTCGGCTGTGCCAAGAACTTGAGAAGCACTACGAAGGAGATTCTCAGTCTTTGACCAAACAGGTTGAGTGAGACGAAGACCATCTACTGGCTTTTTTCCCAATAAAGATGACATAGATTTGTCACAACTGGGAACAAGTCTACCCAGTGAAGAATCAAAGATATCAAAATCCTTGTACGTAACCTGATCAGAAAAGGATGACATTCCAAATCCAGAGCCATATGGCCAGATTCAGGAAAAGAATTGTGAGAAGTCACAGTATCCTGAGAAATACCACAGGAAGCTTCAAAAGTTGAAGAAGGTTTCTTCGGCTTGGAAGGAGAGGCAAAAGGGATATGTCTTCATCCCTCATCAAGGTATACACCTTATCCCTAAGATCCTTCAAGGATGGAGGATCCTCAGTCTCCTTGGTGGGAGGTTGTTGAGCTGACTTAGAAGAAGGCTCAGGAGCCGTCTTCGATACCTTGGGAGAAGAAGAACTTTCAACATCCTCATCAGTGAGGAAAGCCCTTTCATGACTCCCAGGGGAAACAGAAAGCTCGTCATCCTCCCTCTCATCATATTCCACACAATTAGCTGGAGAAGGTTGATGAGAAGAAACTCTATTCTCCAGTAGAGACATACGACTGGATAGAGTACTAAATTCAGCCTTGAAAGACTCACCAAAGTCCAAAAGTAACTTCTGAAAACAATCCAAAGATGATGCATGATCAGAACCCTGAGTACAATGAGAAGAGCTAGAAGATTGAGCTCGCGAGTCAGGTACGGTGGTAGAAGGAGCTACTGCAGGAGTCAAAGATACTGCTACGGGTGGAGCAGGAGCTAAAGGTGGTGCATTAGCTACCCCAGAAGGGGGACCATAGAAATTGTCCCTATAAGGCCAAAAACCAGGTTGGTTTGGCATAAACCCACCATAAGGGTAAGACTGTGGCCAAGGTGGCTGAGACCATGAGGGTAAAGGTTGTGTGCCCGAGTTGGGAAGCATATACCCACAATAGGATAATGGGGGTCTAGAACCTGGCAAGTTCAAGCCCATAGCTGTACCTGGGACAGAACTAATAGTACCCGATGAATTAACAGGCCTAGATAAAGTATGAGTCACAGAAGTTGACGTAGGTACCCCCCAAAATGCATGGCCGAACCTTGTGAAAGGGTCGGATAGGTAGCATTACCAGACACCGTTGTCGAAACTCCGGTCAATGTACTGGTAGTTTGGGGGGGACTTAAAGGTAGTGACCCATCTAGGAGATAGTCCGAACCAGGAATATTTACGTACGGACTATTCAAATTAAAGTCCATAATAAAATTTACTTTAGTCAAAAAAACACAAATAATTTGTTTAGAAATTCAAACTAAACAAGGGAATAAATTTCCAATAATATACACAATATATGAAAAGCAATTAAGCTATTCAAAAAACTTTACAAACAACTAAACACTTCTCTGTTGAATCTGTAATAATTTGCATGTGTGACCAATGTCGCAGATGGAAATTGAATGGGAGAATATGGGCAAACAGGGGTATATGTCCGGACCAGTGAGAGTACGTTTATTTTTAGTCGGGATTATCTATCTGACCTATGACGCAATTGGGGTTACACTCAGAATTTATGATGGTAACGTATTTATAGCTATAAAATCATTATACCCCTTCCTATCTAAGTTAAGGTATCTAATGATCTCAACCCTTGTATTATACCACATATATTTGCCCATATATATATGTTTGAATTATATAACAGTATCAGAGTAAACAGGCAATTACATCCAACTGTTATGATGGGCACTGAGAATGTATCCATTACACATTCATTAAAATATTAATTAACTGCTTAACTAAACTGTTCTTTATTTATTGATATGATCAATCACTAGATACCAAACATATTTTATGGCATTGGGAGTAAGGGAAATTATAATTTTCATTTATAAATCTGAATAATTACATTAGATGTATGTTTCATTATTATACGTTATTTTGATTGGCTAACAGCAATCTCACGTCATTCTTCATTTCAAAATGAATTGCATGAATTGAAACATACATGATGACACACGTTTACACAGTAAAGTGCACATGTAAATAAAAGAAAGACTGATAGTAATTGTGTTTTCATGATCATAACGAAAAAATGTAATTATAAGTATTGAATGCTTCTTTTAGTAATTTCAAAGGGATGTAAAAGCGTTGACCATGCGTTCATTTTAAGAATGAAGCGCTTTATACAAATGTACTTTGGTCAACGCTTTTACACCCCAATGAATTTACAAAAAGAAGCATTCAATTCTTAAATGAGGTGTCTATATGACACACTAATATCATATTATGCACCCGTGACTAAGTGGCATGAGCATATAGTGCTACCCATGTCTGTCCTTTGGAAATCAAAGCGATGTCGGTAACTTATTTGTTCTGCCTGCAGATGTTGATCTGATTTTTGGTACATAAGTGTATAATGATGACTTACGGATCCAGTTTGCATTGTTTTCTGGTTTACTGACTATTGGCTGAATTACAGCCCTTGGACTTAAACAAATTCTTTAATATTGTACTTTTTTTGTAATGCCTGCAGATTTGTTGTTTTTTGTTATACAATGATGAGTTACAGTTTGTGTTTTGTTCCAGTTGACTGATGTTTGTTTAAGAATATAGCTGTTGTTCTTGTCTGGACATTTTTGTAATGCATGCAGAAGTGCAGATCAGAAGAAGATTTATTGTGTTTAGCTCTGGTTGACTCACTTTTGGTATAATTACTGTTGAATTTTCACAGTAATAATAAGAGAGACTAAAAGCTTTCAGTCATTAAAGTGAAAAAAAATTGAGTCTCAGATAGAAATGCCTAACAGACCTGCTTATACTAGAAATCACATTAAGTATCTCCTAACAGATAGCCATCATATCATTACAGCAATTCTTAGTCAGTCCTAACAGATCTAATAACTTTATAACCATGTTATATCATTGGTTCTCATTTTTGTCTGGCTTCGACGAAGTGGCGTCAACAATGTATTAGTTTGTGATTAAGTCAGTTTATTGGGAACCATGAGTGGTAGGTCAATGATATTTGGTATGCACATGGAGATTATTTGCCCCTCCCATTCAGTCATGGTCTATTTTCTTTGAAACTTTTGCTTAGTTTATATTTATTAGTTTGTGATAAGTTCAGTTCAAGGGGAACCATTAGTGGTAGATCCATGATAATTGGTATACAGTTTTTTAAGCATTGGCATATCTCATTTCCTTGGAGATTATTTGTCCCACCTCAGTCATGGTCTATTGCCTTTGAAACTTTTGCTTAGTTTACATGCATTTGTTTGTTATTAGGTCAGTTTAAGGGGAACCATTAGTGCAATAGTGGTAGGTCAATGATATTTGGTATGTAGATGTATTAGCATTGGCACATCTCTTCTCACATGGAGATTATTTGCCCCTCCCCCTCAGTCATTGTTCATTGACTTTGAAACTTTTACATAGTTTACAAGTTAAAGTTTGTGTTTAGGTTAAATAGTTTAAAGAGAACCACTAATGATAAGAAAATGGTATTTTGTATAAAGTTTTATAAGCATTGTCATTTCTCATTTGCATGAAGGTTATTTGGCCCTGCACTTTCAGTCATGGTTTATTGACTTTGATTGATTTGCTTAGTTTACATGTTTGAATATTGCCATTTTAATTTCAACATTTGCATTATACTAATAAAATTACAAAATGCGACACATATCTCTGTGTTAACAGTTTATTATAGATTAACATATATATTTTTTAGGGTATTGAGACAAAATATAAAGTGATTGAACTGAATCGGGGCAGCTTACAAGAATCAAAGAAAGCAGGTTAGATCATACAAATATTGCTAGATATATATTTATGTTTACAGCTTGTTTATGGTCATTCATATTTATTCTCATTAATTCCTCAATTGTATAGCAATTTCATTTTGACTTTTTTGCTTATTGAATTTTATTTTGACTTTTTTGCTTATTGAAATGTTTAGTTCATGGTCTTTTAGATCTGAAAAGAGGCTGACTAGCAGCAAGCCTTTTTTGATATGGTATTGTTTATTGTATGCTTTTACTAGTGTTCTTATTGTCCTAACTTCTCAGACATGATTTATGTATCTACATGAAACATATTACATTGTTAGATTCTTGTATTCAGAGATGGGTGAGATGTTCCTGTCCCCAAAGATTTGCCTCATAATTACTTACAAATTATGACTTTGTCATGCATCTATCATTTCATCCCAAATCCTCAAATTATTAATTGTTGATGAAAACTTCTTACATTCTATAATAAAAAGTAAACATGAGTGTAATGTTCCAGGCATTGAGTTTTCTTCAGAGTTAATCCACTTTTAACTTTGAAATCGAAACTGTGATAAGGCCACATTTTTGGCAGTTTGATTAACGAATATAATTCTATCAAATAACATGCTCCAGATAGTCACAAGACATAAAGTAATCTGTCAAATATCAGTTTTAACATTTTTGTATTGTTTCTTATGTATTGTTTAGGGCCTCAAACTTCTTGCATTTCACTCAAAACTTCAAAATCTGTAAAAATAGCCTCATTTTGAGATCTTGTCATTAGTATTTAGAAATGACTTGTATGAGCCAAAGCTAAAAAGATAGTAAAGTTTGATGTTCAAAGACATAGTCTGCAGTACAGTACCAATGCATGGTTATATTAGTGTCTACATTACTTTACCAATGCATGGTTATATGAATGATGTATTGAAGTTTATATTGAAATCCTATCCTATAGATTCCGTTTTGTTCATGGCATGACCAGTATACACAAAAATTTTCATTTCACAATTTTTTAATCAGAATTGCTTTTGAAATATGACCAAGCCTTAGATGTGGATGATAAACATTATTACATGTACATCCACACAATTAAATTAAAGTGAAATTATGATTGATTTAAATCGTTATCATTGATCAGCTTACATCTATGCAATGTATTTATTTTACACACCTATACTGTGTATACTTTAGATTTTGCCCAAGATGCCTTTATGTGAATTAATTATGTAAAAATGGAATGTTTTCATTGTTAATCAAGTTATCAATATACTGGACACTTGATTCTATTAAGTACCTTGATGATTTTTATAAGATTCAACATTGTTATTAATGGTTTCAATAAACATTTATATCAAGTCTAACTAAATTGAAAAAAGGTCTGATTAACCTGTTCATTGTTTTGATACTGTGGATTCATTTATTTTTCATGGGTATCAATTTTTGTGGATTAAGGAAAACTTACATGTTCCTGGATACGGAATTCAGGCTTGTATAATCCGTGGTTTTATTCCCCAAAATTAAATCTGCCAGACAAGGGTGCTGATTATAGAGTACGATAAGCAAGAAATAAGAGAAAAACTTGATTTCGCGAGGTTTGTTTACGTTCCGCCATGTTTGTTATTGAAATTGTAGAGGACACCTTTATCATTTTCAAAACTAATGTATTACCTAATCCATATGAATGTGCAATTTTAATTCAAAATCCATTATAAAGTGATTAATTTCAAAATTAAATGCTTCATTACAAATGTCTCGTTTCTTTTCACAGCATTGCATAACATAAACTGGAAACCACTTGTATTTAACAGAATGAAAAAAGTGTTTTAGTTAGCCAGGAACCAGTTTATGCATAACGATGTATAAACTACAAAACTTAATCGGTTATTCGTTCTGTTTTGGTGATTCATAATGACGCATGTGTTTTGTTCTACTAGGTTAAGATCCTTCAAACATTAATATGATGGATATGTTTAACAGCATTTTACTAAAGGATGGAGCTGTTTTACTTTAAAAGTTGTATTCTAGTGGTATCTATTTAGTACGGATTTTCCGCCACTCTCACCGTAATTAATTTTCATTTACACGTGCTATTCTAAATTTCAGTTTAAACATACACAAGTTTCTCAATTGTTTTATTTTGTGATTTGGACTTATGTTAACACGCGTGAAGTATTCTAGAATCATTTTTAAACATGTTCAACTTTTATTTGATGATGGAAAACGGGTTTTTTCATGAAAATACCGCAAACGATCACACACAATTTGAAATTACCTGAGTTTCATTAAACGTTTTCGAACAGTTACAAAAAGTTTTTTTACCTGAATTCTCGTGTCGAGAAGGGGGTGTGGACAATGTACCAGTGCAAACTACACAAGGGCGATTACGGTAATTAATTTAGCGGTTTTGCTGAAGTCTGCATACAAGCCTATAGGAAATTTTCATTCATTGAACATTTAATTTAGTGGTTCACCTGTACCCTTGAAATCCACGAAAATTGATATCTAAAGATCAATATTCGGTCCTTACCACAATAAATCAGTTAAACAGTTAACCAATGACAACACTAGTATTTATGAATGATATGACATATGTATTTAGTAAACAGAATCATTGCAAGGTATACATATCCTTCAGACTGGATTCACATCACCTTGACAAAATTTCATGGATCAATGTTAAGTTCTTATACGACAGCAAAAAATTTTTGCGGTCGTATATTGGTATGATGTTGGCGTCGTCGTCCGAAGACACATTGGTTTTCACACTCTAACTTTAGTTTAAGTGAATGGATCTCTTTGAAATTTTACCATAAGGTTAAATACCACAAAAGGAAGGTTGGGATTGATTTTGGGGGTTATGGTACCAACAGTTAAGGAATTAGGGGCCAAAAATAAGCATTTTCTAGTTTCCAGACAATAACTGTGGAACGGTGTATCGATCTCTCTGAAATTATACTACAAGTTTCCATACCACAAAGGGATGGTTAGGATTTGCTTTGGGGGGTTATGGCTCAAACCGTTTAGGAATTAGGGGCAAAAAAGGGGGAAAAACAAGGTTGTCCTGGTTAATGGACAAATACTTAAGTACAAAACATAATTTAAAGCAGTGTAAGGGAGATAAATCAAATACATCATTGAAATAACCTCCCTTACACTGCTTTTAAATTATGTATAAAGTAATGGTTAATGAACAATTAAGATAATTTAAAACAGTGTAAGGGAGGTTATCCAAATACAACGTTTTGGTTACTTCCCTTACACTGCTTTTAAATTATGTTTAAAGAAATGCATATTTATAAAGGAAGACCAGTAAAAATATCTGCAAATGATTACAAAAAAATCTATATGAAAGATTTGACACTATATTTTAAATTCTATTATAAAATAGATTAAGTTAGCACTATGGTAAATTTAAATGGGTAATTATGGTTGCAAACTCCATTGGAAATTTGAATTGAGATTATGACCATATCTTGAGGGAAAGAATTTTTTGGGGGAAAAAAAGGGGGGGGGGGGGGTAAAAAGTAATTGTGAGGGGTCAATTTTTTCTCATTTCAGATTTCAGAAATTAAAAAGAATTATTCCTCAAATATTATTTTTTTTTCAAATTTCAAATATTGAAAAATTTCAAGAAGTAATCTTTAATTGCACAGTATGTAAAATCTTTGACCACATTTATTTTTTTGTTATGCTGAATCTAACCGTGTATTTAGATTTTTAAGTTTTCAAATTGGTCTACATTAAGGTCCAAAGGATCCAAAATTAAACTTTGTTTGATTTTAACAAAAATTGAATATATGGTGTTCTTTGATATGCTGAATCTAAACATGTATTTAGATTTTTGATTTTAGATCCAATTTTCAAGTTGGTCCAAATTGGGGTCAAAAATTAAACTTTGTTTGATTTCAACAAAAATTGAATATATGGGGTTCTTTGATATGCTGAATCTAACCATGTATTTAGATTTTTTATTTGTGGGCCCCGCTATCAAATTGGTTCATATTGAGGTCATAAGGGTCCAAAATTAAACTTTTGTTTGATTTCATCAAAAATTGAATTATTGGAGTTCTTTGATATGCCAAATGTAACCGTGTTTTTAGATTTTTAATTTGGGTCCCGTTTTTTAAATTGGTCTTCATTGAGGTCCAAAGGGTCCAAAATTAAACTTAGTTTGATTTTAACAAAAATTGAATTCTTGGGGTTCTTTGATATGCTGAATCTAAACATGTGTTTAGATTTTTGATTATGGGCCCAGTTTTCAAGTTGGTCCAAGTTGGGGTCCAAAATTAAACTCTTTTTGATTTCAACAAAAATTGAATATATGGGGTTCTTTGATATGCTGAATCTAACCATGAATTTAGATTTTTTATTTGTGGGCCCCGCTATCAAATTGGTTCATATTGAGGTCAAAAGGGTCCAAAATTAAACTTTGTTTGATTTCATCAAAAATTGAATCATTGGGGTTCTTTGATATTCCAAATCTAACCGTGTATTGAGATTTTTAATTTTATGTCCCGTTTTTTAAATTGGTCTACATTAAGGTCCAAAGGGTCCAAAATTAAACTTAGTTTGATTTTAGCAAAAATTGAATTCTTGGGGTTCTTTGATATGCTGAATCTAAACATGTGTTTAGATTTTTGATTATGGGCCCAGTTTTCAAGTTTGTCCAAGTTGGGGTCCAAAATTAAACTTTGTTTGATTTCAACAAAAATTGAATATATGGGGTTCTTTGATATGCTGAATCTAAACATGTATTTAGATTTTAGATTTATGGCCCAGTTTTCAAGTTGGTCCAAATTGGGGTCCAAAATTTAACTTTGTTTGATTTTAACAAAAATTGAATATATGGGGTTCTTTGATATGCTGAATCTAAGCATGTATTTACATTTTTTATTTGTGGGCCCTGCTATCAAATTGGTTCATATTGAGGTCAAAAGGGTCCAAAATTAAACTTTGTTTGATTTCATCAAAAATTGAATTATTGGGGGTTCTTTGATATGCCAAATCTAACCGTGTTTATAGATTTTTAATTTTGGGTCCCGTTTTTTGAATTGGTCTACATTAAGGTCCAAAATTAAACTTAGTTTGATTTTAGCAAAAATTTAATTCTTGGGGTTCTTTGATATGCTGAATCTAAACATGTGTTTAGATTTTTGATCATGGGCCAAGTTTTCAAGTTGGTCCAAGTTGGGGTCCAAAATTAAACTTTTTTTGATTTCAACAAAAATTGAATATATGGGGTTCTTTGATATGCTGAATCTAACCATGTATTTAGATTTTTTATTTGTGGGCCCCGCTATCAAATTGGTTCATATTGAGGTCATAAGGGTCCAAAATTAAACTTTGTTTGATTTTATCAAAAATTGAATTATTGGGGTTCTTTGATATTCCAAATCTAACTGTGTATTAAGATTTTTAATTTTGGGTCCTGTTTTTTAAATTGGTCTACATTAAGGTCCAAAGGGTCCAAAATTAAACTTAGTTTGATTTTAACAAAAATTGAATTCTTGGGGTTCTTTGATATGCTGAATCTAAACATGTGTTTAGATTTTGATTATGGACACAGTTTTCAAGTTTGTCCAAGTTGGGGTCCAAAATTAAACTTTGTTTGATTTCAACAAAAATTGAATATATGGGGTTCTTTGATATGCTGAATCTAACCATGAATTTTGATTTTGGACATTGGTAAATTAAAAAAATTCAAGTTCTTAGACCACATTCTTTCTGTGTCAGAAACCTATGCTGTGTCAAATATTTAATCACAATCCAAATTCAGAGCTGTATCAAGCTTGAATGTTGTGTCCATACTTGCCCCAACTGTTCAGGGTTCGACCTCTGCGGTCGTATCAAGCTGTGCCCAGCGAGGCATTTTATTCTTTTTTAGATCCATTTCTAAAAAACAATAAGCAGTATGTCAACTAAATTTTTTGTATGGAATGACTGTAAGGTGAACATGTCTATCTGGCAGGGTTCGTCTGACTTTGACCTCATTTTCCTTGTTCATTGGTCAACATTTTTGTGTTTTCTTAATTAGGCCCATATCTCAAATACTATAAGCAGTAGGTCAACTATTTGTGTATGAAAAGATTGTTATATATACATATCCATCTTACAAGGTTGATCTGACCATGACTTCATTTTGAGGGATCATTGATAATGTTAAGTTTATTTATTATACTTCATGTTAAAATGCCAGATTTTGATTGGTTAATACGAGTGAGACAATTTACTCTATCCCATGGCTCAGATGGAGGCAATTTTTGAATGTCGCTCTCTCATGCAGACCAATCAAAAATAGATTATATAAAGGACAATGAATTGAATTTACATCGATAATTTTATGAACAATGCTCAAGTTCTACTTTTGGCATCAGAACTTTTTCATAGACTATTCAAAAATACATCTTGCTTCACTGTTGTAAATTTTTCTAATTACTGTACCCTTGTTATGTACCTGACATCATAGTTAATTACTTTCAATAAATATGAAAAGATAATAATGACAGAACATTCAGTATAATAAATTAAATAACGCATAGCTGAGAGGGTGATAGAGCAGATTGTTACCCCCTGAAAAAACATTGTCAACCTTGGCTTCGCCTCATTGACAATGTTTCCTCTGGGTAACAAATCTGCTCTATCACCCTCTCAGCTATGTGTTATTTATATCATGTTACCTTTATCATAAAGACTTTCAACATAAAATTCCATCATGATCAGCTGAGCAGGCGAGACATTTCAGTGTGTGCACTCTTGTTAAACTGACTGACTTCAAACGCTGCTGTAAAATTAATTCTGCAATAATGCCATAGTACATACAATAAATGAATTTATCATCTTTTGTCACAAATGCTTGATACTGATATAATTAAAGATCTATTATTACAGTGTAGTACCTTTTTCACCAGATTTATACCTTATTCTATTATTGATATTGTTGCTATTACAGGGGGTAACAAGAGTAAGATGACTATCAAAGACCAGACAGGAAGATTGCATGTGTTCAAGTTCAAAGATGAAGCAGAAAAATCTCAGTGGATGACAGTTGTACAACCACTTTGTCAGAGCATCAAACCTAAAGAAAAGGCTTGATGAATATATGAAATAGCAGGGTAATTGTGGATATTGTCAAACACAAATTTTGGCATTTGAATATGTATTTACATATAATGTGTATTTGTTAAATACTTTCAGCAAAAGTTTTTCAACAGTGCTGTTCACAATTTTGAAATGAATGTCGCAGAAGGACTTTTTTACTCTTTAATATTTTTTTTATTAAAGGTATAATACTTTTACATAATTTGAATATACTTTTTCATCTTTATATTTTCTCTAATATATATGTACTTATCCTGTTTCACATTCCAACTTCACATTGTTCTAATAATGAAAGGTGCTTGATGGAACTTTTTATCAGCCAATATTTATATTAGAATTATCTAATAAAATAAAATAACTATTCACCAAAGGTTAAAGGTTTAGAAGGTCAACTTAATATCTGCAGGTCAACAATAAATAACAGCCTTAAGGGAATAGCTGACAAGTTAAAGTTAAGTGTTTTGGAAAACGAACTGTCAAATGGTTCCAAAAATTAGAAGTTGTCAGACCGAAGGCCTCATCAAATTAATTTTCAGTTCTTTGATTTGTTCATAACTATTTTTATCAGGTAAACTTCATTGATGTCAAAAAATTCAGGGAGGTAAAACATCAAACATGTAGCATCAATTTAATTCAGTTGAAAAAAAAAAAAAAAGTTAAAAGACATCCACCTCTCCTATGATAATTTAAAAAGTTAAAAGACATCCACCTCTCCTATGATAATTTAAAAAGTTAAAAGACATCCACCTCTTCTATGATAATTTAAAAAGTTAAAAGACATCCACCTCTCCTATGATAATTTCAAAATAGATTTATTTACTACAAAGTAGCTGCGTCTACAGAATTCTTGTTTTGTTGAAGTTGAATATTGACCATCAATTGTTTTCCTTCTCATCCAAGTAATCTTTGGTGATTTGAATTGTTACTATTTAACGGTGCATTTTAAATGTGTAGAAATGAAGAACCAAAAGTATTTAGTTTTACTTTTTAAATGTGAAGAAAGTTGTCTTTGAAAAAAGAACATATATGTCCTATACATAACTAGATTATACATATTTAACCTTATGAATACTTAATTGATCAGTTTGTGAGGGAGATGTTAGTTCTTTGATTATTATTTAATGGAAAGTATTCAGAAGTTTCAAATCCAGATTTGTTATTGGGAAAAAAATATAGATGGAAACACCTTATTTATTGACCACCATGTGGTTCACATACTATTCTACATGTATTATTGTGTATTTTGAGGGACATTTATTTACCTGTCGTATCACAGTATTCAGATGTATAGGGCACTAACAAACCTGTATATGTCCTTTATTCAGTGCAATATTATATTTTACTTTTTTTAATGTATTAATTTAACAATATTCATTAAAACTAATATGTATTCCTTAATACAGTGTGTAGTTATTATACAAGGTTTTGTTATAAAATTAACCTTTTGGGTATTATCTTTCTTTTGATAAACTTTTCATTTTTTTTTCATTCTAACGGATATAATGATTTTAATTTTTATACCTTTTGTGTATACTGGAGAAGAACACAGAATGTATATCAAAACCAAAATCAAATCATTTACACTAGAATTTAATAGCATATATAAATGATATCAAGATTTTTAGCCATTCTTGCTAAATAGAAAAATAAGGAGATGTGGTATGATATAATCTGTTGTTTCTGCATTCGTAACAATTAATGTATTATCATATTGTGTCAGGATTTTGTCTTAAAACTACCATTTGACCAAATATAATGATGCATGCACAATTTATAACTAAATTCAATGTATCAATATTATGTCTTCAATGAAATGGACTTAAAGGCAAGACAACTGTCCTTATTTATACATAATTATTATACATTCTCATTTTATTTCATGTCAAATTTTAAGCATTTATAGTACACCAGCCTGATTGGCCAGTTTAAGCTTTTGTAATCATTTTGCATCCATTATCCATCTTCAGTTTGTCCATCATTTTGGGGTCATATATTTTTTAAGATTTTCTCCACTTAATCCATATTTCCAATCTTAACCAAACTTTAGCACAATTGTATGTGCCATTTCATTTCTGCATTTAATGGAATAATTTGTTTATAACAAAATAGATAAATTTACCATACATTCTTTGATAAAGCGTAATTATCTTTATAGTTTTCTCCCTGTATAAAGCAAAGTTTAAAGTTTTTTTTAAATCATTTGTGTTTAAAAAAAAAACAGTTAATACATAAATACCATAAAATAACAAAATATGAATTTCAACCATAAAATAACATTGTATAAATTTCAACCATAAAATAACATTGTATAAATTTCAACCATAAAATAACATTGTATAAATTTCAACCATAAAATAATATATAAATTTCTGTCATTAAATAACATTTTATATATGTCATCATCTGAAAAAATAAACAACAATTAAATTGCATTCTGCATTAAAATTGGCTTATTTCAGTAAAATATTGACCGATCATTCGCTGTCATTAGTGATCCAAGATGGCTAACAGAATACATTGTACTCCCATACTTCTTTGATAAGGATATACAGATTACATGTGAGTTTCATTACGGTTGACTTTCTTTATTTCATATATTTTTTTTTACCTCATTTCATGAAAAAGACAAGTTTCTCCTTCATTGTAACCCCTCATACAGATAGGAAGGTTATAGTTAGTAAATAGTTGCTGTTTGGGTACTTAAGTGAGATTAAGTGTAAAGTTTGTTCAGGTTTACTCACACTTTGGCAAATTTTGCAGCCTTTTGACATAAAAATGATGTTGAGGTTAAATTAAATTCAGAATTGAAAAATAGATAGCTACAGATCTCTTACTTTTGATCTAACTAAATACAACCTCTGGAATGGTTCTGCTTTTTTTAGATGTTTTTTTTTTCAGATCTATTTCTGAATTTTGTTTATAATTGTGTATGAATTTTGTATCTTATTAGAATCAATCATTAATTGTTTGGATGCCACCTATTTTTCAAGACTTTTGTTTTTACTAGAAATTTGCCAGTATGGACATTTAATTTTATTAAATAAACCTTGAAGTTTATTATATTAGCTATTGCGTATCAGATCTTTTACTTTTTGTTACAATTGATCTACTATTGATCTAATTACATCAACTTTTTCTCCATTGTTTGAGTCCTTCTTTGTGATTTTGAGCTTATATAACACTGTCCTTCATATTTACGTACTTCTATCAGAATTTTTGTTCTTCAAATGACCTTGCAACTATAAAAAGACTATCCTCTTTTTGGATGCAGGGAGAAACATTTTTCAGTACTATGCACAGATTCCAGGTTGACGATACAGGCTGGTTAGAGCTCCTACTTTTATTTGTTATGTTGTTTGTTTTTTACTATGAATTCTCAATATTTTTTTATCACCTATGCAATCTTGATTTTTATGCAGTTTAATTGTGCCATGCTACTTAAAATTTTCCTGAAACAAGAATGCTGCTGAAAAACACCATCATATATGCAAATTAGCAGTTGATGAAATAAATTACTGTAAATTCAGAAATATTTTGTGATTTTTTTATTATTGCAAAAATTGCAATGAGATAGGTGTCGTAAAAATATAAACTCGCATTTTAAATCTGATAGCATTATTTGTATGCACTATTTCTTAAAATGGCATTAATTCATGTCAAATTGTTTTCTTTGTTTAGCAATCACTTTGATAAATGCAGGCAATAATTTCTGAATTGACAGTAAAAAGAAAAAAAATAAGTAAATTTATAGTATGTAATGCCTTCCCACCATTCCTGTTTATACCTTCATTATTTATTTTGATGTTTGTGTTATTAATTATGGTCACAAATATGGTAATTTAAGGGTGTTATATTAACACATTTACCAAACTTTTACTCTAGTTTGTCAATGCTGTGAAACCATTTTATTACAAGTATTTGTTAAGAAGAACCTATAACCATTAATGTTGTTGCATGATCAACCTGAAATTTCTCTTTTCTCTATAATATTTGACTAGATACCTACCCCTAGTCATGCTTCAGCAAATTTAGAATTTAACGTTGTTGAAATTAAAAGTTTTTGAAATAAGTGTGTTTGTTAACAAGTACTTTTCTATCCATTGATATTTGATTTGCTGTTTCACTAGCATACTGGTACCTTTGTTTAGTGTCATTTATAATTTTTGGAAATTTACCCTTTAGTCATTCTTAATTTTTAGTCTTATTAATTGTAAGAATGTTATTTACTTTGTTTTGCATTAGAAAAGCTAAGGAAGTGGCATTTATGATCCTTGTTTGCTCCACTGTTAATTTTTCCAAATTTCTTATTGATAAATTTATTTGAAGCAGCATTATATTGTGGATAATTTCATTATGGTGGGTACCAGATTTCATGAAATAAGAAAACATATATTTTTTTTTATGGATACTTGGATTTCATGGGTTTTATCGGATTCTGCATTCAAGTCTTTAGAAAATTTGGTTTTTGTTGAAACTTAGATTCATAATTCACCTATACCCATGAAATCCTCAAAAATGAGTACTCCATGAATAATCAAGAATTCACAGTATTTGGGTCTAAATTAATTTTTACATCTTTGAATATGTAGAATTTATGTGTTAGATTTATTTATTATTGTTTGAATTGGATTTGATAAAGATGTTGTAACTTTGCTTGCATGAAAATCTTGTTTGTTTTTTATTGATATGATGAGTGATAATATTGTATGGTATAAAGAAATGTATTTAAAATGTTTAAAATCAGTACTGAAAATTAAACCTGGGAACCTGAGATGTACCGTATATCTGTTTTTTTTGGCGTGTGTTTAATAAATGCGAAAATTTGACCCCGTGTAAATTTCCCTGCAAATTCCAAGATTTATTGTTGTTTGAAAATTTCAGATATTATCATTATACTGTTAATTATCAAATCTTTTGTGTTGTTTTACAGATAACAAGATTGAGCATACTTAATTAAGATCTCAGTTTTCATAATAACTAAATTAGCTTATCATACATGTCACACCTTTTGACAACACAGCAATCAGTGACATGTTAGAAATTGTTTATTAGCTACGATCTATTGCTTGGTGTCATAACCCGAATATTTTGCACAAAATGTGAAAATCACAGAACAAAAATCCACGGATATTTGTTTATCTGTAATGATCAAAACCTTCAATTTTTAACATGCCCCATGTACATTATTTACGTTCCTTGGAAGTTCTCAGAATTATGTGTATTTTCGTTTGTAGTACTCATATTTATTTTTGTATTCCATTACCTGTTAGTTAATCAATTTTTTTTAAAACAATTCGATATAGTTATTTTTTCGTGTGTATTTTCCCATTCAGCGAAAATTATACACAGTGAAAATTTAACCTGCACATTTTGTCATCAAATTGCGAAAAAAAAACGATATACGATATTAGCCCATGCTATACATGTGGAATATATATGCTTAATGTTGACATTTTTTTGGTGCATATTATTTGAGTATTAAATGTTTTCACATTTTTAACACAATTATTCATACTTTATTTATGAACACAACATTTAAAAAATAATCTAAAGTCCAATAAAATGTGTTGCAGCTACTCGGATTACATGTCACATGTCAGATATCACATGACTGAGCTTTTTGATGTGTCACATATGCCATATACCACATGTCTGAGGTTCTTGATTTGTCAAATAAATAAGATATCACATCACATGACAGGTAATTGATATGTCACATGTCAGATATCACATGACTCAGTTTTTTTTATGTGTCTCATATGCCATATATCACATGTCTAAGGTTTTTTTATATGTCACATATGTAAGATACCACATCACATAACTGAGTTAATACATTTGTCACATATCAGATATCACATGACTGAGGTTTTTGATATGTTGTATATGACAGATATCAGTCACTTCACATGAGTTAATGTTCTTGATATGATATACAATATCACACACATGACTGAGGTTATATATATGTCATAACTGTTTGTATGGTTGTCAGTTTTATACTTTCTTTGTTGACATGATTATAGTTGGGAAGGAAAAGGTGTATTTCTGTAGAAAACTTTCTGTGATAACTGACATGTGGCATATCTATAACCTCAGTCATGTGGTGTGATATTTTACATATTTAACATCAAAAGCCCTAAGGATATGATATCTGTCATATGTGACATATCAAAAACCTCAGTCATGTGATATTGTCATTATCCTCTTTCTTCAATTACAAAATTCCCTCGACAACAGAACCATATACTCATAACCAAGCCTCATACATTTCATTAAGGCTAATAAGAACCATACCACAATGTAAAATTTGATACTCACACAACAATGCCACAAGCTGTTTTATTAAAATTTGCACATTAAGTCAGTAATCATTCCACTCTAAAGAAAATCAGGAAATATAGCATCCACTTACTTTACACAAACAAGATGAAAATTTATGCAAACCCTTATTCAAGTTGGTTTTGTTCTGCTGAATGAAGATTAATCTTGATGGTTGAGAAACAATGAAGTCTTTGGGCAGACAAGTATCCAAAACTCTGGACAACTGTCTTTAGTCAATATTTTTTTCCAGTGATAAAGTAATGGGAGATTAAGCAAGATTACAATAGATTTGGTCATAGATGTCTTTATTTATTGTACCAGTATTTTGCTAGCTTATTGTTGTGGTAGAAAATTTTAAAGAAATGACCAATGATATGAGGATTATCCTTAGTTTCTTACTTTGTCTTTAACCAACAAAAAACTTTGAAAAACATTTAAAAACATGCTTTTAACCCTTACAATTTGATAATTATAACATTCAAGTTGTTACTAACTATTTATATAAGGTTCAAATAGTGGTCTGAGTAGCTGCAGTACTTTTTATGACACCATTGATTTTTGTCCACCAGCTTGCCACCAAGTTTTTATTATTTTGTGTGATCTCAGTAAGCCAAATGTAACAAACTATTTAAATTTATTTATTTTGTGGTTTTAAATGTGTTATTTTATAAACCAGTGCTTGTTTGGGTTTTTATGCTTACTGTTCAGTCTACTTTATTATTAATGATATGTAAAAGTGACAAATATATGTGTACAACTTTTATGAAGTCTATCTGTTCCTATTTAACTTCTTTGCATACCATTCAACATATGCCTAGTATAATATGGCATCTTAACATAATCAAAATGTCCCTTTGACATGGTTATAGAGTTGATGCCTCCTTGATAAGGTGGTTGTAGTATAAGTTTTACCCCCATCTTTATTGTAATATTCAACAGTTGTCCATTTTTGTCCTCCAACAGATATTGCACTGAATTTAGATTCATAGTTGCATAATGATTAGTAACATATAGTTTGCGATAGGTTGACATACATTTGACAGAATTATTGCCCTTGGACTGATAATGTCATACAAATTGTACTGTATGAAGCATTATTAGGTGTACAGAAAATAAGTATCACACAGTTATTTAATGATGAGCTAATTACAGATAGAGATTGAGTTTCATTTAAGGAACACATTTATGATAAAATTATTGCCATTATTTACTTCATACTATCTCCTGGGATGCAAATATTAATATACTGCAACATTCTAATTCAGGTTAATTTATAAACTTGGCGTCTAGATATTTTCAGTAAAGGGATGATCTTGATTATCCTTTATAACATGATGGTCGATGAACTTCAGTAAATGTAAGTTGTTGAATATTGTTATGAACTTTGTAGTTCTATACATATTACGATTAAATATAGACTATTCTCGCTTATTAAAGCTGTTCCAAAAATGTACAATAATGACAGGAAGAAATCACTATTTTGTCTCATCATACATTTAATTTGAATGTTATTAAACCCTGCTAACCCTTCCAGAGCACTTAAGATCATCCCCTCTTTTTAGATGGGTTTCTGTTGTTCAGTCTTTATGTTTCTATGCAGTGTTTTGTTGACTTGACTTTTAGTCATTTTTTGCCAAGTCATTGTTAGTTTCCCTTACACTTATGAGCTTTGAATGTCCCCATGTAATCTTCTGCCCATTGACTTTATTTAAATTGATTTTTTTTTTTAAAACAAACCACTACTCTTCAAATGTAAATGAAAGTGCCTTCCTGCAGCAAATATTCATATCTGTAAAGTGTAAAGTGTTTGATTATATATCAGTCCATGTAAAAACGGTTATGTTTATGAATAGATGTAGATGTAAAGTATATTTTAGTCAGTTACCAAACAATACAAAAAAGACCAAAAACCATTTAAAAGTCAACGTACATCTTCAGCAATAGAAATCTTACTGTCTATACAATTTGGTAATATATCAAGATATAAAGCACCCCAGTCTACAAAAGTACATTGTCACTAGCCAAGGGTTAAGATCTGGTCCCTTCTCTTCTCAGGATATGACCGGATTGTAAACCTTGTCCAGCAAAGATATGAAAAGTACTGAATAAATATTCCATAGACTATCAAAAATCCACTGTCAACACAAAAATTTCCCAAATTTACAAAACAAACACATTACGATTAAAAACTTTCCTGACATTATGCAAATATACTTTTATACTGAACATCTATGCACTATAATGAAAAATATGAATTAAAAAATGGACATAAACTAAAGAAATAAGCAGTTTTTTGAAGGTCATGACAGAAATTATCCTAAGTGCACAGCAAGTTTACAAGACAAGCTGAGATACTTGATATGAAATCTGTCAAGACCTTCAAAAAGTGACATAATTCTGTATAAATACAACATCTAAATGAATCTGATACTATTGGCAATGTCTGATCTGATATCTGTATGTTGAGAAGAGAATATCTACATTGATAAAGTGATAATATGGATTTAATATAAGAACCATGTATCAAGAGAAATAGTTTTTTATATCATCTATGAAAATTAATTCAGAAAACAGGTTTATATCAAAATTCATTTTGTATTGTAAAATAATATTTTAATACTCATTGGCCATTGATAAAGATGGTGATACCTTAAAGCTTGTAGGACTGAGTACATTTTACAATTTTTGAGAGAGAAAACAAGATGCATTTATTTTTTCATGAAAGGGATGTCAGTAATGTATATAAAATGTGTATTATGGGTTAATCAAGGTTATGAAGTGTGACAATGTTACTGTCACAAATGAAAATAAAACTAAACCTTATTGTTACCTCAAGTCCAGATATTTTTGTCACTTTTACACAATAAATGTACATGTATACAATGTTATTTTGTATTCATTAAAACTTACTTAAAAATGATTTTAATCCATTTAAAAGGGAATACGTGACAATTAGATTCTATGCAAATTTCTAATCCCTGTTTATCAAAGAAATAAATTGTGCTTTAACATCCTGGTTTCAAAAGAGGTGAACATATAAATAAACTCATCATAGATACCAGGCCTCAATTTTGTACACCAGACGCATGTTTAGCGTTGGCCTACAAGAAACTCATTAGTGAAGCTGGATCAGAAAAGTTAAAAGGCCAAATAAATACGAAGTTGAAGAGCACTGAAAAATATAAAACTTACTTAATGTTTTTTATTTGCAAAGTGTTTTTTGAGAAAAAATTGCCATTCGCATTATGTTAGGGTGAATAGTTTTCTCATTGATCTTTTGAATTGGATAGTGGAGGCTGGTTTTTGCGTTTGTAAACGCAAGTGGATAGTGGGGGCTGGTTTTACTCAGACTGATGCGCAGGTCTGTTTAAACAGAATCAGAATGTTTAAACGACAGTACCTTGTTAGAAAAGACCATGTTATTTTACTGGGATGGTGTTCACAAACAGATCAAAGTTCAAGGCAAATGGTATAAGTAAAAGTCTAAACACAAAGAAATACGCTGAGTTTTTCAGTTTCACGTTCAGATATATTGATGATATCCTCTCACTCAATTTATTATTACCAATATTTCGGGAAGTGTTTGCATCTAATATATCCAAGTGAACCTGACATTAAGGATACAGCAAACATAGAAGGGTCTTTTCATTTCTGAATATTTCTTTGAATTTGACACAGTAAGACGATTTCAAACTAGGATCTATGTCAAACGTGACGATTTCAGTTTTCCAATTCCTCAGTAGTAATATACTGTCTTTGAGGTAGACGAGGAACATGGACACGAACCTTAAACTTATGGCAACATTTGATTTTGAGACTAAACGGAACGTGGACATGAAGCTGACACTTGTGGCACTTATTGGTACTGACTTGTTGGTAGCTGGGATTACACTCGAATGCTAAAATGTAAGATCGAATGAATCTATTATTTAAACGAAAACAAAAATTGCTTCTAAAAATCACAAATGTAGAATGAGGACGATGCAGATCCATAAAACGGAAAATTCGTCATATCTGAAAATATATAATTGTGTTGGAACTTGGACATCAAAATTCTATGGAATATCTATAGCATAGTTCTTTAGTAATTGGATAGGCAACGAAGCCACTAAGTTTTAGCATGTCGCCATTATCCATAGACTTCAATCGCTTTTACTGTCACATTACTACATTACTACTAGTATATGGATAGCATATTGATCACAACCATGTGAGCTTTTGTGAAAAAAATGAAACTTATAGAGCTTATATTGCAGTTTACAGTTGACTATTCAAAGAATTCAGTGAAACTTAACCGAATTTTATCAAAATATCTAACCTTGAGATTTTTAAAAAGTTGATGAAAGAGTGATCAACAATCGTTAGCGAGAACATTGGTATATATTTGCTGTAGAACGGAAGTCCATTTGTGAGATGAATTTACTAGAAAAGTCCTGTTTACGAGAGGTATAAAAATTTCCAGCCGACATTGACTGGTCAGTGCCAGTTTCAGCTTGACATTATCATCGAAAAGCAACAGTTTTAAAAAACAGTCTAATAGAGATGACAGAGAAGGTATTTTTTTTGGTTCCTATAACCAACTGAGAACATCCAACAGAACAACAGTTATAATGAAGGAGTAAGTCTCAGAATAAGCAGGATACCCTAGATAAAAGAAGAGAAGAAGTTTTATAGAATAAAAAAATGGAAACGGGGAATGTGTCAGAGAAAACAACCCGACCACAGAGCAGAATACAGCCCAAGGCCACCAATAGATCTTCAACGCAGCGAGAAAATCCCGAATCCGGAGGCGGGTTTCAGCTGGCCCCTAAACAATAATGTATACTAGTTCAGCGAAATGGACGCCACACCAAACTGCGAAACATACAAAGAACCAAACATTAAGACTAGTCTTTAAATACTGGTAGGTATGATCCCCGTAATGGAACATGTCAATTGTTAGTGACTGGTGAGTGAAAGAGAGGCAGAAGATACCAAAGGGAAGTCGAAAACGAACTGAAAATGCCATGGCAAAAAAACGGAAAATGACCAAAAGTCCTTGGTTTCTGAGCGACATTTGAAGACTTTGTCGGTTTGTGTAGGAAACATCCTGTGTTGAACTTTGGAGCAGAAGACATTTTGGTATGTACCTAGTCGTAAAATACATCCATCTCCTTTGTTTGTATATGGTAGTTGAAAACATCCTTGGTTTGTACTTGGTAAGTTTTTAAGACATCCTTGGTTTGTACCTGGTCGAAGAAGACATAATTGGTTTTGTATCTGGTAGTTGAAGACATCTTTGGTTTTGTACATGGTAGTTGTAGACATCTTTGGTTTGAACCAGGCAGTTCAAAACATCCTTGGTATGTACTTGATAACTGAAAACACCCTTGATTTGTAACTTGTAGAAGAAGACATCCTTGGTTTGTACCTGGTATTTGAAGACAACTTTTAGTTGTAGCTGGTCATAGAAGACATCCTTGGTTTGTACCTGGTCGTAGAAGATATCTTTGGTGTGTACTTTTGGTAGTTGAAGACATCCTTGGACTACCTTGTCGAAGACATGCCTGGTTTGTACCTGTTAGTTGAGTTAATTCTTGGTTATGTACAAGGTGGTTGAAGACATCCATTGTTTGTCCCTAATAGTTGAAGACTTCATTGGTGTGTACCTGGTAGTTGAAGACATCCTTGGTTTGTACGTGGTATTTAAAGACATTTTTTATTTTGTGCCTGGTAGTTTATGACATCCTTCGTTTGTACCTTGTTGTCCTAGACGTCTTTGGATTGTGCCTGGTAATAGAAGACATCCTTTGTTCGTACTTGGTAGTTGAAGACATCCTTGGATTGCACCTTGTTAGAAGGCATGCCTGGTTTGTACATAGTAGTTGAAGATATACTTGGTTGTTTACCTGGTAATTAAAGACATCCATGGTTTTGGACGGATAGTGCAGACATCCATGTTTTGTACTGGGCATTTGAAAACATTCTTGGTTTGTACTTGGTAGTTGAATACATCCTTAAATTGTACCTGGTCATAGAAGACATTCTTGGTTTGTACTTGGTAGTTGAATACATCCTTAAATTGTACCTGGTCATAGAAGACATTCTTGGTTTGTACTTGGTAGTTGAATACATTCTTAAATTGTACCTGGTCATAGAAGACGTTCTTGGTTTGTACTTGGTAGTTGAATACATCCTTAAATTGTACCTGGTCGTAGAAGACATTCTTGGTTTGTACTTGGTAGTTGAATACATCCTTAAATTGTACCTGGTCATAGAAGACATTCTTGGTTTGTACTTGGTAGTTGAATACATCCTTAAATTGTACCTGGTCATAGAAGACATTCTTGGTTTGTACTTGGTAGTTGAATACATCCTTAAATTGTACCTGGTCATAGAAAACATTCTTGGTTTGTACTTGGTAGTTGAATACATCCTTGGATTGTACCTGGTCATAGAAAACATTCTTGGTTTGTACTTGGTAGTTGAATACATACTTAAATTGTACCTGGTCATAGAAGACATTCTTGGTTTGTACTTGGTAGTTGAATACATCCTTAAATTGTACCTGGTCATAGAAGACATTCTTGGTTTGTACTTGGTAGTTGAATACATCCTTAAATTGTACCTGGTCATAGAAGACATTCTTGGTTTGTACTTGGTAGTTGAATACATCCTTGGATTGTACTTGGTCATAGAAGACATTCTTGGTTTGTACTTGGTAGTTGAAGACTTCATTGGATGACACCCTTG